CCTTTGGGCAACCATATTCACCATATAAGAAAATAATCCATCATTACACTTTTGTTCTGATCCAAAACCCTTTTCCAATAAAACACGAACCAAAAGGAACAGAAACCTTTTAATTATTCTTAGGAACCCCCAGTTAAAAGGCTGCTACAAACTAATTAACTTTGATAAGCACAAGCCTTGCCAAAACTGTGCGAGGCTTCCAAGAATAACAGATAAGAAATATTTTACAACACAAGTGTCTTCAAATACCAACTTAAGATACTGCAATATCCACAAGGCTGAGTTTCAAAATGTCTTTGCTTCCTACAAAGAATGTTCGCTTCACAGCTGGCTTTTATCTTCTTGAAGGAGAAGCCATTACCTTGCAGCCTTACTCTCAAGTCGCCCATGCTGATGCAACTGCTCTTTTCCTGTGAACAGCTGTGCACCCACGCACACTTGGCACAGGCTCCTCGGGAACCTCCTCATTGCTGCTGCCAATCCCCACAATCTCTGAAGGCAGCAGTCCACTCCCTAATGGCCCTGGGCCCTCATTTGAGTCCTCGCTCTCCTCAAGCATCTGCACCTGCTGCCGGCTAACCACAACAACTTTTCTATTCCGCAGAACATTTTAAAATCAGCAAGAATTTCAGATTAAAGAGCACGTAGTTGGAGGTGCCCCTATTTTCTTTTTCTTCACACAGCAGCGGCCAATTTTATTGGATGGTGAATCTCAATAAATCAATTTTTTCATCCTTGGCAACTTAAAAGATGCATGGATTTCAGCTTTCAGAATTTCCCAGCCAGCAATCTAGATCTGATCTAATTTAATGGGTCTTAATTGCATGTGATAAGACTGTGATGGCGAACCTATTGCATGCGTGCCACAGGTGGCATGTAGAGCCATTTGTGCTGGCACACGAGCCACAGGCAAATTTACCTCACTGCGCATGCACGTACCTCACAGCTAATTTTTGCCCGGTTTGAGCCTTTTTCAGCCTCCCAGAGGCTTGAGGAAAGCCTTTGCAGGCTGAAAAATAGGCCCATTTCATCATTTCCTGTATTTCCGGAAATACCAAAAGTGATGAAACAGGCCCATTTTTTGGCCTGCAAAGGCTGCAGAAGTTTTCCTCAAGCCTCTGGGAGGCTGAAAATGGGCCAAAAATCAGCTGGGAGTCGCAGTGCATGTAAGGGGGTGGCGGGGATTGCGCACGCATGTACAGGGGGCGGGGGGGCCTTCTGGGTTCTGGCATGCGCATTACTATGGAGATGCTGCAATAGTCGTAAATGTGAAAAACAGTCATAACTCACTTTTTTCAATGCCATTGTAATTTCAAACCGTCACTAAAGGAACTACTAACTGTAAAACTAAGCTAAAATGCCTTTTTTTCCATTGCCCTTTTAAGTGGCTTTGAGTAGTCTTTCATTTCCCTTTTAAGAGGAGGCTTGGCTAGACAGACAGAAGCCCTTTGAGCTTTCTTTTTTCTTTTTGCTCTTGTGACTACTTCTCTGATCCAGAATCATATGTGGTTGGAGACTCAGATCTTGGGTGAGTAAATGTGGGTTTTGTCCAGATGAAAAAGTTAGATAAGGAGCGAAACCCTTTGAATCTGCTTCAGAGCACAGACTTCTGAATAGCTCAGTGTTCCTTTATATTTCACAGTGCATTGATTGCTAATGGATTATGCACTTACATAAAATTTACTTTGTGCCAGTTGTACTGTAATGTGTACTAATGTGTACCCTCCCCTATTCACCCCCAAATCCCATAACTGTCTAATAGGTATGAACAGTATGAATTACATTGCCCACTGTGCCCAATGATTTACTCTATAATGGCCAGAAAAATGTCCAAGTCCTCAAAAGAAGAGAAACTAGTAGACTTAAAGTGAAACGAGGCAAAGAACTGTCTTGTGGAGACTACTTAAAAGTATCCATCTTTCAGGAACTTCAGCCCAGCAAGAAGGAGAAAGCCTGTATAAGAGTAACATTTGTAAGAATGTGTAGGGAGTTACCTATTGTGCTTTTTTAAAAGAGGAAACTTTGTAATGGTTGAGATGGGATGTGTTTTTGTGTACTGAAATGCTACATTCAGAAAGTTGTGTACAGGGATTATATGACCAAACTATGCATAAAGTTTCTGAATAGCATCTGTGGCTAGGATCCAGTAACATACGCACCACACCCCAGCACTATGCTCCAACTCTCCAGAACTTGTGGAAAGTTTTCACCAGAAAATAAACACCATTTGTTTTCTGAAATTTTCTAAACTCGAGGGCTTTTTTTTTTTTTGCTCGCTTGCTTTCAGCATTAAAGAGTTGTGATCCATAAAATATATGTAACTGTGTTATCTTAGTTTTTCATGTTGATTCAGAATATAAAAACAATCACATCCGTAAACATGAATGCTTTTGTTTTTAATCAAGATTTTTAAAAACACTAATAAAAGATAGTACAAGATAGAAAAATGAAAATAAAAAATAAAAAAAGCAAATAAAATCCCCCTTTAAGCAAGTAACTTCCTACCCTCGTCACAAGTATCAACGATTTCATAATCTATCTATGGAGATTCTCAGTCATCCAGGTGATGATTATCCCAAAGGTTCTTTTTTTCAACAGGCAACTGGACTTTCTTGTTTTTCTTTGAAGACATTTCGCTTTTCATCTAAGAAGCTTCTTCAGCTCTGACCAGATGGTGGGGAATGGAAGGATTTAAATTCCTTGTAGACAGCTGGTCATTTGCATTCTTAATTTAAAGAGTCGTTGAGGCCACCTTGAGGTTTATGTGTCTCCTCAGGGTCACCTGAGTAGTGCAAATGGGTGTGGAGCCTTCTTGGAATTGCTGAAGGAACTTGTAGACTGGAGATAGATGATATTTATCTCTCTCCCTCTGTTGAGAGAGGGCTGTTCAATTTTGACATAGATGGACAAAGAAAAACAAAAAAGTCCAGTTGAAAAAAAGCACATTTGGGACAATTTCTTAGTGTCTTCACCCCTTTTAGTTAACAAATATAAAACTTTTCATTCCACAACTCATCTCTTAGTAATAAATCAAATAAGTAACATATTCTCGTTATCCAATTGTCAACAAAAAGTCAAAATAGAGCTCTAATGTATTAACATAATATAAAAACTAGACTTTCTGCATCTCGACCTCTAGCTATAGGCAAAAACCCATTTAAAAGGCATAAAAAGATCCCAATCTTCTGCTATAAATAAACCAAAGCAGATTTAACATTTTGATATCCTTTTCTCCTTAAAAAAAGGTACATAGTCCATTCCAAATACCAACCATTCTATAAATAACTGCTCCAAATGGGAATGCATTCCCTTGAAATAAAAAAAAAAAACAGTATAGATGTTTTTGGTGAGTTTGATATTGTGTTCCATGTTTTCTGAAGACACTAATCAGCCTTTTACCTGATCTCTACCACAAAATGATAGGGAAATTGCAATCATATGCATGCTTATGATAGTATCCACCATTGGCTTTCAACATAAAATGCATCAGATTTTAGGTTTATGTTGATTGATACAAATGTTGTTATTAAAACCTTTTCTTGATCAACAAAGGAATGTTGAAAATAAATTGTGCAAAGTGACTCAGAACTCCATTATTGATTATTAGGATAGAAAATTGAACAGAATGGGACAATATTTGGTGTAAACTGTTGGAAGATATCACAGTTTTAAAGATAGACCAGGTCAGGTCAGGGGCTGCAGAGAAAAAAAATCAGCAAAATTTATCTTGTTTGTCTCATTTGGTAATTCATTAAAAAAACCCACCATGCATTGTATGAGTTCAATCACACTCTGAAACTGATTGCTCTATCTGAATTGAAAAGTGAAGTTCAGTTCTCAAAAATGAACTAAAAAGAACTGTGAACATTTAGGAAATCATTTTGTATGGTAAATGATGTATAAGTTATTTGCTGAAGTTTCTTGTTCCCTGTCAAAAACTTAAATTGTTATCCAGTATTGTCATGAAATTCTCAGTATGATAGAACTCACTGCATATTTGACTATCTTATTTATTAAAAAGAAAACACCATTAGAAATTCCATGTATGCTGTTATCCAGTATGTTCCCCACATCATGTACCTTTGATTTTTCCTTCCCATATGTAAAACTTTTCATTTCTGCTTGCTGAAATTCATCTTACTGCGTGTTGCCTATTGTTCCAACATATCTGGAAGGATCAGCTTATGGAAATATGATATGCAACTTTGACAGTGTCTGCTAAATTTATTTCCATACAGAGTTATCCAGATTAAAATGCTTTCGAAAACTGAGGCAGTTTAGGATGGACTTCCATTGCAAAACAATCTGCAGGACAATTTGGCAAAAAGCTAATATAGATTGTATTTTTAGCATGAACCTTTGCTTGTCAAGTTCCTAGTGAGGCATTTTAGCACTTCTAACTATTTCTCCCTTCTAGATTTTGTGCCAATCTGTTCTCTACCTTCTGTATCAGTGAATTTGTTTCCTTTCAACAAAGCACATTCTAAAGACTGTGAAGAAACAAACTCTTCTGCTGTGCACTATTTCCTGAGAAATGCTCCAATAAATGCTTTATTGTTTGTATTTTTATGGATGGGTGGTGCATATGCTCTCTTCATACACCCATTCCTCTAATTTCACCTCATTATAACCCAAGGGACACATTTGCTGGAAATAGACCTCCCCAAAATAGAATGCAAGGAGAACAAGGAGAATAAATGTGTGGCAAAATTTACATTGTATTTGATTTATATTTAAATGTATATTATTGTTTCCATTCCCAAATTTATTTTTGTTTCTTCCAGGTATGTTGAAAATAAAATTGGTTGAGCAGTTTAGAAGTGGCCATGGTGCCATACCCAAAGCCTTCAGAAAATACACAGAGCTCTTTAGTTATACAGGTCTATTGTAAAACCAAAACCATATCCTTGTGTTTAACCATTTGTTAGATTTTTAAACTGCTTACTGGCAATTTCCCTCTAGGTGGTGTTAAACATTGTCCTTTTTTTTTTTTTTAACAGGGAATCTGATTTTCATCTGTGCCAGATATTTGCTGGAGGGCTGATGATCATTCAAAGAGTGGTATTGCATTCACGCCCTGGTATGTTTCTACTTGTTGGAAAACATATTTGAGTTTTTTGTCTTTGTAGAACATTTTAAATGGGAATTAAAAAGAAATGCAAGAGGGCAATTTCTCATGTGCAAATCCAAAGCTTAATGCAAGTCTTCAACAAGACATTCTTAGCATACATTTTCTAATTACAGATGCATTGGTGAGAATTTTTCAGTTTGTGTAAGAGAAAAAATGTATAAAATAACCTAAATAAGATTACTGCTGTTTTTGGAGTATGAAATGTGGAGAATTCTGTAAACAATTTTGTAGGTTTTATGTATTCATGATTTCTAACAGTAGCTATAAGCAATATTTACTGTGAATAGTGTATTCTTAAAGTTATTGTATTTGTGAATTTCCTTCTGGCCTCTTGTTAATTTATATTTCACTTGAGATTTATCAAGCAGCTGCCCATTCTTGCACTAAAACTGATGGTATTTCTTTCCAGTTTTCTTTACATTAAAATTGATGTGCGTCACAAATTACTTTGTTAGGAATGAGGATTTTTAGATGCATACGTCATGTTGAACATCAGCATGGCCAAAATGAAGAAAGGCTAGGGAGGAGAAATACAAATAGAATTTGTAAATATCAGAATGGTGGCTAACCCAAGATATATAGCTTCAATGAAGAAACACATGCTTTTGTAAGGAACATGAAAAGTCAGATGTGATTGTTCAGAAATGCTAATTTAACTCCCATAATTTCAAGAGGAAAGAGAGACTAAGTTAAACTTGTGATCTGGCTCATTCTAGGCATCAATGGAGTGCCAGTTGCAGAAAACTTCTGTATGGAAGAAGCCACCCTCTCAGACAAAATTGATGAGGGTCAAGTTAAAGTCCGTACACTTTATTTGTCTGTGGATCCCTACATGGTAAGTGGGTTTAATAAAAATATCAAACTATTTGAAGAATATTTGGCCAGTTGATTCTTAATGTGATCTGCCAATCATGAGTCACCGTAAATAGTGATTTATAACTTTAGTAGAGGGGAGTATTTTGTTTTGCATAAATACCCATGACCACAATTATAGCACACGTAATACACATACTGCAAAGTATTTGGCAAGTACCTGAGCTTTTGGTTTCCTCCTTCCAAGCAGATTGCTAATCTCAATATGGAAAGTATTGCAGCTTCTACAATTAAAGCCAATGTAACTGGGAGAAAGAATCATAAGAAGATCTCTGAATATATGTAACCCTCTGCCATACATTAATTCTATTCTGAAAAAGTATACAAATATTCTACATTATAATTTAAAAAATTAGCATTGGGATTTACTTCAATTACTGCGAAGTAAAGAGTTCTTTGTATAATAACTTTACCACTTACATTCATTTTCCATAGGATTGCATCAGAAATTTGTGTTGCATAATTTGAATTATGATTTTTTTCTAAGATGTACCATATAAACCAGAATAAGGAAAAAAAGATACTTTGGTGCATCAACCAACCTCTTAGTCTATCAGTAATAAAAATATGATCTTTATTTTTTCTTCTCAGGCTTTTAAAGGGTTTATTGTATTATTTAGCAGTTTCCATATTTTTACTCTGACTAGCATTAAAATCCTTGTAGCTTCATGTGTTGGCCAGCTATGTATCTCTTGACAAAGAGAAAAATGAGCTTTAAAAAATTATCTTGCTACAAATAATTGTCTTTTAGCGGTGTCGTATGAATGAAGATTCTGGATCTGACTACATCCAGGCTTGGAAATTGTCTGAAGTTACTGATGGAGGTGGAATTGGTTGTGTGGAAGAAAGCAAAGATGTACGTTTTGCTCCAGGAGAGTTTGTGACGTCCTTTACCTGGCCCTGGCAGACCAAAGCCATTTTAGATGGAAAGCAACTGAACAAGGTAACATTTTGTCATTTCTTTCCATTTCCTTTGGAGAAAAACAATATAGACAAATGTGCCCTGACCTCTAGCAATATGTGGTTAAAGACTATGGATATCCATAGGGAGGGAATTGAATGGAGACTAGAGGTGGTATTCAGCAGGTTCTGACTAGTTCTGGAGAACCGGTAGTGGAAATTTTGAGTAGTTCAGAGAACCAGGAAATACCACCTCTGACTGGCCCCGCCTACATCTATTCTCTGCCTCCCGAGTCCTAGCTGATTGGCTGGGTCTTCTTTTGTTGCCCTGCACAGGAGAACAGAGCTTGAAATTAGGTTAGTGGGATGGGGAAGGAATGGGCTTTTGCAGTCATCTTCCCCTGGAGTGGGGTGGGAATGGAGATTTTACAGTCCTTCCCCTGCCACGCCCACCAAGCCACACCCACCAAGCCAAGCCACGCTCACAGAATCGGTAGTTTAAAAAAATTTAATCCCACCACTGATGGAGACGTGTAATGACTGTCAGAGGAGCATGTATATAATAGCAACATCTATGTGATGACGCTACTTCAGTTTGTTGAGAACACCACTGTCAAAGAACAACCACTGTCATTTTCTATCATTTGCACAGTTGCCTATGGCACAGCATCCAATGTGATACCAGAAATGTGATTTTTAGCTGAGTACCAAAGGAACAAGGTTATACTTGTTATACAGATAATTTTTGACTCTTTGTGTGCCTTCATGTGCCTTCGAGTCAGTTATTTAAGTCTTGGCAACTGCCTAAAGTTCTTGCAATTTTCTTTCTACATTTTCAGAAGGGGTTAACCCTTCCCTGCTTCATAGAGCTAAGAGAGAATGACTGGCCCAACTAACAAGATAGCTTCATATCTAAGGCAAGGTTAGAATTCAAGAATCTGTCAGTTTCTAGCCTGATGCCTTAACCACTGTACTAAACTGACTTCAGATAGGACCCCAAAACGTCAAAAAAAAAAAAAAAAGACAGATTACAGATAATCAGAGTTGGAAGGGACCTTGTAGGTCATCTAGTCCAACCCCCCCCCCCGTCCAAGCGGGAGACCCTACACCATTTCTGACAAATGGCAGTCCAATCTCTTATTGAAAGTCTCAACTGATGGTGCTCCCACAACTTCCGAGGGCAAAAGCTGTTCCATTGGTTGATTGTTCTCACTGTCAGAAAGTTTCTCCTTGTTTCCAGGTTAAATCTCTCCTTGTTCAGTTTCCATCCATTATTCCTTGTCTGGCCTATAGGAGCTTTAGAAAATAGCTTGACCCCCTCCTCCCTGTGGCAGCCCCTCAAATATTGGAAGACCGCTATCATGTCTCCCCTGGTCCTCCCCTGGTCCTACAAAAAGTATCAACCAACTTTGAACCTTTCCAAAAGAATTCAGCCAAAAAATCAGAATGGATCTTGACTAGAATGATAATGCTTAATTAATTCCATCCTTGAAACCCTTTTTTCTTCTTCTTCAGATTGATCCACACCTTGTAGATGGACACCTTTCCTATTTCCTGGGTGCAGCTGGCTTGACTGGGCTGACAACTTTGCTGGGAATCAGAGAGAAAGGACATATATCTCCAGGTTCTAATCAAACCTTGGTTGTCAGTGGAGCTGCTGGTGCTTGTGGCTCTCTGGCTGGGCAGGTAAGATGGTATAAGCTCAGTCTTAAGGGTTGTTGTTAGAAATGAGATTGTTCTGCCTATGAATCTCAAAATTTGTATTATTGGGATTTACAGAAGCCATTATATTTTTTTCCCTAGAAATAGGCAGACTTTATCATGGGATATATATGCAGCATCTAGTCCCCCCTGCCCCTGAATTGACTTATTTGGCAGAAAGCCTGAAGACATAGTTCAAAGATGCAAGAATATCCTAAGCTTTGCAGAGGTAAAAGTGCCCCTTTTATCCTGAAATCATCTCTGTCTCCAATCAAGCCAATATTCCCAATTTTGGGAAGACTTGGGAGCATGGGTGCAAGTCTTAAACACTGTTTTAAAACTCTCCAAACCAAAGAAAAAGGTCTAAAGATTTTGGCCCCATCCTTTCTATAAGATCATGACATCACTAGTCACACCCCCTGTGGTCCTTGGGAGCCTTTATTTTATCTTTTTTTTTTAATTAAAAGTTTTTTTAAAAGTACTGATTTTAACTCCCCAAATTTTAAAAATTGCTCACCTCCGTTTAGTCTTGCTTCCACCTCACATGCTATATGGAACAGGAAGAGAGCTTCTATTGGTGCCAACAGTCTGGCACCATCTATCTTGCTGATAGATGGGAGGATCACTGCTTTCATTTGAGACTATGACAAAGAAGGGCAGTGGGTTAAAATTGCTTTTACCCATTCCATGATTATTGTCCAGTTTGGTCTTCTCTCTCTCTCTCTCTGCTGCCTCCTTGAGAGAAAGGATGCATACAATGGTTATTTTGTAACTGACAGAAAATATAGATTCACCTTTTAAAAAAATCCTTGTGCTGCAAGACCAGTGATTGCAAAAAGCTGACTTTTTGTCATGGTTTTCTGCTTTCAAAGATAGGTCTCCTGGAGGGCTGTTCTAAAGTAGTTGGCATTTGTGGCACAGATGAAAAATGCAATGTTTTGGTCTCTGAAATGGGTTTTGATGCTGCAATCAACTATAAGAAAGAGAATGTGGCACAGCAGCTGCACAAATATTGCCCAGATGGAGTGGACGTCTATTTTGACAATGTTGGTGGAGACATCAGTGATACAGTAATAAGACAAGTGAGTGTGCCTCATCTACTTTAGACTCTGTTCAGGCATTTGTGTGGATGCTGGGAGAGGGCAAGGTGTGGAGAAAAAAATATATCATGTTCAGTCCCACTCCTGCTCCCTATATTAAACTTGTTTTGGCTTTAATGTGAGTTTAGCTCTTCACAGGATCTAGGCCCCAAATACTGCAGGGACCCAGATAGCTGGAAATTGGAGAAAAGGCAGGAACATATGCAGAAACCTTTTCTGTCCTCATGTTGAGCTCCCCATGAGTCCTTGTGCTGGTCCGGGACGCAGTGGTGTGAGAAGTCATCAGGGATGGGATTCTACCAGTTCGGACCGTTTCTATAGAACTGGTTGTTATGATTCTGCGCAGTTTGGAGAATTGGCAAATTGTACCCCTGGCTGGCTCCTCCCCTCTCCGCCCCTCCCCGCCCAGTCAGGCCTTATCTCACAGGCCCGACATCGCTTACTACATTCTCCCCCGCCCAGTCACTCCTTAAGATATTTCTTATTTTTTCCTCCCGATGATCAGCTGTGTCGGGATCCCCCTCGCTGTCTTACTGCTTCGCCCAGGAGGCTTCCCTGAGGACCAGGAGGCAAAAAGGGGCGCATGGAGTGTCTGTGTGTGCTGCCCCCCGCCCCCCTGGTGCTTAATTTTTTACCTTCCTGGGCCCCAGGGAAGCCTCTGGGAGCAAAATGCCCCCCCAGGAGGCTTCCCTGAGGCCCAGGAGGCCCAAAAATGGAGCACAGGGGGGTGCTGCTAAGAAAAAAAGCCACGCCCACCCAATCATATGGCCATGCCCACCTAGCCATGCCCACAGAACCGGTTGTTACAAAATTTAAATCCCACCCCTGGAAGTCATGGATGTATAAATCAGAAGAATACAAAATTAGGTTGACAAAGCATTCAGATAATCAAATCACCAACTTTTCTCCACCAAGATATAATTCCTCACTAAATCTATCTGAACCACACTTGCTAAGATAGAATTAATTTTCAATTCAGGAAAGCTGAAATGGTTTTGGACTCTTAAAGACACTTTCTAATATAATTGCTTACCTAAAATTTGGCAGATAAATCTGAGCAGTTAATCTGAGATGACACCATTTCTTTTTCCAAATTGTAAAGTAGTATGGGATCTAATATTTGTTGGAATATATGTTCCTAAAAATTGAGCAGTGTCTTTTATATTGTTCTATCACTTTTCTGGAGTTCTGTTAGTCAAAAAATTTGACACAAGATGCTTATTACCTACATATTTTTAATTTTAGGGTACTGTCTGCTCTGATTTCCACTGATGTAATGTAGTGTCAATGAATGCTAAGATCTTTTTCATCACATTGCAGTAGGTTTCTTCTCTGCGTTTTGTTTGGCTGTTTGTTTTGTTCATTTCCTTTCTTTTCTTTTTCCTTTCTTTTATTTAATTTACTTCTATTCTCATCCAAATTAAATTGTGCATGTAGTCTTATCTTCACCACATGATCTTTGCTATCTGAGGCATGCTTAAAAGTCTGGCCAAAGCGATAATGTGACACACATGTTTACTGTATGTTTGCATGACACATTACACACAGCCTAATGAGTAGCATGAAGCCAATCTAGTGATACCAGAACAATTGGATTCGTTTGATAAACTGTATTTAAGTTAATCATGGTATATATGCTGTTGCTCACATACTGCAGTTTTGGTTTCACTGTAGTCACATCCATAACAAACCATGATAACATAAAAGTGACACATCTGATTGTATCATTTCGTAGTGTAGATGCTGCGATTACACATTTGCCTTATGACATCCAATGCAAGAATAACCATCATGATGTAAGGGTCATCACTTGTCCCTTTTCCCCATATCATGGATGCCCGTGCAGAATACTATAAGTGTGATGAATAGCATTTTGACTCTTTTTTTTCCTTTACTCTTATTTTTCCTGTAGAAGAATAAATGAAACATATTGCTGGTTGCTGCAACAGAATGTAGGCCAGACAAATGGGATGTTCTTCTACTCTGTTTCAGTACGTGTAATAAAAACACACTGTTCTTTTAATGGTTCTCTTAGTCAACCCATTGCTGTTGAATATTCTATTGCAATTCTATTGCAGAGTTTTCAGACTGTGCTTCCAGGAGAGCCCTGGTGTTCTGACCCAAACCCTTTTCCAATAAAACAAACACGAACCAAAGGGAACAGAAGCCTTTTAATGATTCTTACGAATCCCCGGCTAAAAGGCTGCTGCAAACTAATTAACTTTGATAAGCACGAGCCTCGCCAAAACTGTGCGAGGCTGCCAAGAATAACAGATAAGGTTACCTAGAAATATTTTACAACACAAGAGTCTTCAAATACCAACTAAGATACTGCAATGTCCACAAGGCTCGAGTTTCAAAACGTCTTTGCTTCCTTCAAAGAACGTCCAATTCATAGCTGGCTTTTATCTTCTTGAAGGAGGGGGCATTACCTTGCAGCCTTACTCCCGAGTCACCCGTGCTGCTGCAGCTGCTCTTTCCTGCGAGCAGCCGTGTGCGCACGTGCACTTGGCACAGGCTCCTCTGGAACCTCCTCATCGCTGCTGCCAGCCCCCACAATCTCTGAAGGCAGCAGTCCACTCCATAATGGTCCTGGCCCCTCATCTGAATCCTCGCTCTCCTCAGCCTGCTGCCAGCTAACCACAACACATGGTGCCTGCTTTGGCCAGCAGCACTTTGCTAAAATGAACTGTAGGAAAAGGCCACTGTAAATCAAAGCCTTCCCACTCTTTTGGGAAAGTCTAGCTGTTGATTCTCAGAACAGTACTTATCAGCCTTATGCTCCAACTTGCACAGAGGAGTAGAAGATCACTCGGGAAGATGTAACAATATCCTTGTCACATTATGACTTTAGTTCTTACATATACTTTGACTGAAAATTGGCTGAAGGCTAATTTACTCAGATAACAGATAATCAGAGTTGGAAGGGACCTTGTAGGTCATCTAGTCCAACCCCCTGCCCAAGGGGGAGACCCTACACCATTTCTGACAAATGGTAGTCCAGTCTCTTCTTGAAGGTCTCAAGTGATGGCGCTCCCACAACTTCCGAGGGCAAGCTGTTCCATTGGTTGATTGTTCTCACTGTCAGAAAGTTTCCCCTTATTTCCAGGTTAAATCTCTCCTTGTTCAATTTCCATCCATTCATCATAGCTTTTTTCACCTCCTTGCTGCAAGGCTTTTGATTATGCCATGCATTTTTTCTCTATTTTCTCACAGCAGCTGTGCTTCCAGCATGCTTTCTACTAGTTCCTGTCTGCAGAATGTAGTGTAACTTGTCACTATCACTGGAAATGAAGTGTGGGCAGTAAGGGCTTTGTTATTAGGGCAAACAAGAAATAGTTAGACATTCCTCTCTACCTAAAGCAGCGGTCCCAAATCTTTTAGGCTCTGTGGGCCAGCGGTGGAAGCGGCAGGAGGGGAGAGGATTGTTTTTCCCATGCACTCACTGTTTGAGCAAATGCAGCTTCGCATGCTCCCTGCCGCTTGGGTTGCCAACAGGCTGAGGCCCAATAGTGGATTGCGGACCAGGGGTTGGGGACCTCTGACCTAAAGGATACATCTTACATATTGGCAAAAAAGAAAAAAAAGAAAATACAAGCTGAATAGTCAAGACCTTGTTGATGATCCAAGCTCCGTAAAGGACCTTGGAATACTCATCTCTAATGATCTAAGTGCTAGAGCCCACTGTAACTACATAGCCAAAAAGGCATTAAGAGTTGTTAACCTAATCCTACGTAGCTTTTTCTCTGGTAATATCACACTACTAACTAGAGCATACAAAACATTTGCTAGACCATAATACAGCTCATCAGTCTGGAACCCACATTACGTATCTGATATTAGCACAATTGAGAAAGTCCAGAAATATTTCACAAGAAGAGTTCTCCACTCCTCTACTTGTTGCAGAATACCTTATGCCACCAGACTTGAAATTCTAGACCTAGAAAACCTTGAATTACGCCATCTTCGGTCTGATCTAAGTATGGTATATAAAATCATACATTGCAAATGACTTACCTGTCAATGAATACTTCAGCTTCAACCATAACAACACAAGAGCACACAATAGATACAAACTCAAAGTTAACCACACTAAACTTGATTGCAAGAAATACGACTTCAGCAACAGAGTGGTCAATGTCTGGAATACTCTTCCTGACTCTGTGGTTTCTTCCCCAAACCCCAAAAACTTTAACCTTAGACTGTCTACTATTGACCTCACCCCTTTCCTAAGAGGTCTGTGGGGGGCATGCATAAGCGCATCAATCGTGCCTACTGTCCCTGTCCTATTGTTTCTTTTATTTTTCTTATATGTACCCATTTCATGTATTCATAACTATGTTTATACTTATACCTATTATCTTGTAAGCGATTGACAAATCAAAATAAATAAATAAAAATAAATCTTCTGAGAGATACATAAACAGGACTAATATATTTGAATAATAGGTGGAGCAAACACTTAAGAGATTTATGTTTCTTTGCTGCTATCTAGTGGTCATTTACATTTTTGGAGGTCAGATATGACAAGTCCATGCTTGGATCTTTTTTTAACATTTTATATTTGTCCAGATGAATTACATCCTTACAATTTAAAAAAGATAACTTTAAAACACAATAATGAATATATTGACTTGGCAAATATGCAGTTTGAATTATTATCTAAAATAATAAGTGAAAAAAGAATGTAATCTCACAGCTTTGTTTTCTATAGGCGAGTCCTGGAACATTTTCCAGGATCTTCTGTAACATGCAGAGAAGCTGGTTTTTGTGTATAGTCTTAAGAACCATAAATATGAAAGAAAACTATTGTTGTGAACCATTCCATCTCAGTTAGTTATAGACTGAATGTCTAACTTTCCCATCCATAATATTTCTGAAAAATACTCTACAAACTGCAATACTGTGTTATCTTTTTGTTTCCAACAGATGAATTCAAATAGCCATATTATTTTATGTGGTCAGATCTCCCAATATAACAAGGACATGCAGTACCCACCTCCTTTACCTCCAGAGGTAGAAGAAATGAGGAAATCGCGGGACATTACTAGGTATTCCTCATTGGCTTATTCCTCCAAATGAAACACTGAATAAAATCTGCTGAAATATGTGAATGCTTTTTTTTTTTAAGTTCCAAAAATTGCCTTTCTAGATTGTTGCATCATCTAGGAAATAAGGTCACTCAAATAATTACTGGAGCTGAATTTGCAGCTTTACAGAATACTCTTGTCAGTGGACTATCAGTGAGAAAGCTCTTCGATAGAAAAAGAAAATGAGAAGGCTGATTTCCATAGATATCAGAAGGGAAATTGGAGTTGGAAATAAGACTTTTTATCAGTGGATAAATGTGACATGCTTCCTGTAGCTCTCAGTCTCTTAAATCATGCCTTTGAGTCTTACTGACTGGAGAATGAGAAGCAATTTTGTGCTTTATTTGCACATTCCAAAGCTTCATGTGTTACCTGGAAAAGATGAGGGCATTTAACAGATATTTGGTTAGAAATTTAAAATGATACGGCAGTACGCTGGTCCACCCTTTCCCAACCTGGTGTTTTTTATATGAATTGTATTAGAATACTCCATTGTTCCCAGTGAGATTAGAACAGGGATTATTCAATTATTCTATCGAATCAGAAAAATCATCCTCTGTTCGGAGATGTGTCTTTTGGAGTAGGCAAAGGATGGGCACTAAATTTACTTTGTGTCAACTTTGGAATGGCACAGATGTAAAGGTTCTAGTGTCCCAATAGGCTAAAGTATAATTTCAGATGAACCATTTACACTGTTAAAATATTAGACCAATTGGATCATCATTTCCTAACCCTTTAAATTATGTTTGCTGGAATGTGTTGCCATTTATGTCTGCTGCAGGTAAGACAGAACATACTGCTTGTTTCTATCCATGACAAATTTGGTGAGTTTTGTAGCTTCTCTTTCCTGTAATGACTCTTAATATTGGGAGTTTGATCTGCTGAAGAAACAGTCTCAGTCAAGTTTATTTTGGATTATAACCAATTGAATTATTATGTAACTATAAATATTTTTCTGTAAATGATGGTTACAATTAGATTGGAAATTTAATTATTGCCCTAAATGTTTTCTATGAGAATAATAGTTCCCCTTTGCACATAAAATCGAATCAGAAAGGCATTTCAGAATGTTGTTAACATTTAACGTTTGACTGCTGTGAGATGTCAGTTTCATTCTTCACAGAGAAAGATTCCTGGTTTTGAACTACATGGAGAAATATTCAGCTAGTACTCTGCAGCTTTGTCAGTGGATCAAAGAAGGAAAATTGAAGGTATTATAAAAATCAATAGGTAAATTGCTCATGGCTGCAAGCAACCATTTTCTTTCATTGACATTTTCTTTTCTTATTTGTTGTGGTTGCTGAAGCTGAATGAATAACTCATTTCACCTTATCTACAATGAATAGAGACACTTTTTAGAAATCATCTGATTAGATGTAATTATCCAAAGAACTAAGACTACAAAAGTTTTGTTTTGATAATTTTCAACAGTGTTTAATGAAAGAAAAAAATACTAGATTGCATATCAAAGGGGAAAATAATCTTTAATGTTACTTTTCCAAAAAAAAAAAAAAAAACAGGTCAAGGAGACAATCGTGGAAGGCTTAGAAAATACTGGAGGTAAGAGATTGTTTCTTTCTTCCAACTGCATGTCCTTGATTAAAATATGTGGACACAGGAAGGTCCCCTGGTTTATTTCTGGTTCAAACAGCAAAATTGTCTGACCCGAATCTGAATGCTATTGCCATTCACAGTTAAGGAATGCTAAATTTACTTCTTAATTAACATGTTTACATTTAAACTGAATGTGTTTAAAGGTTAAAACTGCTGAATCTAAATTCTACAATTTTTTTTGAATTTTGAATTTTTGAATTCTTTATTCAAAATTCACATAGCACCCAGAGACCAGACCCAACACTCACACACACGACAATCCCCAAACACCTAATGAATAGCTAAAATGAATAGCTCTTAAAATATTGTCTTACCATTTTATCATTTTAAAGAAACAACTGTTGCATGCTTCTTACACTATGAGTTTGCAAGTAATTATCTGGCTTCATTTTATTTTTCACAGCAAATTCAACCTACCCTGCAATCAATAACCACTCACATAATTTCTAAGGAGGTTACTATACACGAGTAGTCTGTGTATAAGTGAACTGGAAAATTATATCCATAATTTCTGCTAAAAATCATTTGTTTTGGCATAAATTGTGATGAAAACAGTATTTTTAACAGCTATGCTGGCTGGGGAATGGAAGCTGAAATCCAACTTACGTTGAACGCACCAGGTTGAGGAAGGCTGAGCAATCTAATTCTTATAGCTATAGGTAGAATAGAGGATCAAACTAAAAATGAATTAACGTAAGGGATTTCATTTGCTGGCCTTATATCAAACGTTTGGCTTTTGTTTTGAAAAGAGAAAGGACCTATATTACAACAACATGGAATTCAAATTGCATTGTATTAAGACACCTATTATTATTGTTGTTGTTGTTGTTGTTGTTAGACTTTCTATTATTGACCTCACCCCTTTCCTAAGAGGTCTATAGGGGCGTGCATAAATGCACCAACGTGTCTACCATCCCTGTCCTATTGTTTCTTTTATTTTTCTTATATGTATCCATGTATTCATAACTATGTTTTTACTTATACCTATTATCTTGTAAGCGACTGACAAATCAAAATAAATAAATAAATATTTTCCATTATCAACTTTGTTAAAAGGAAAATTCCCCTTTCCTAAGGGATTTTTGTTAGATAGTAGACAAAGCTTTTCAGTTCATCCTTTATCAATTTATAAATTTCTCTTTTGTGAGATTTATACTTTTAAAATATTGATACCCTTTCCGCTTACTCAAGGTAATTTACATACAAAATAATATATAATAGAAGTAAGCCAATAGACAAAATACAGGTTGCCCTCAACTTACAACAGTTCATTTAGTGACCATTTGAAATTACAGCAGGCTTGAAAAAAGTGACTTATGACTGTTTTTCATCCTTATGATCATTGCAGTGTCCCTGTGGTCATGTGATCAAATTCAGGTGCTTGGCCACTGGTCATATTTATGACGGATGCAGTGTCCCAGCGTCCTGTGATCACTTTTGTGACCTTCTGACAAGCAAAGTCAGTGGGGAAGCCAGATTCACTTAACAACCATATTATTAACTTATTCATTTAACAACTGTGGCAAGAAAAGTCGTAACCTTTGACTTAACAACAGAAATGTTGAGCTCAATTCGAGCAATGCCTGTAATCATTCAATACATTCTATCAAGTCTGCATTCAAAGACCACGTAAAATATATTATTATGGACATCCAGAAAGGAGGATGAAATCTTGGCCTCCATACATCACTTGAGAGCCTCAGGGTAATTGCAACAGCTGCTGGTTTTACCTCATGTCATGAGATAAAAACAAGAGCTGGAGCTGATCAGAGGATCTTAAATACCATGAGAGGTGAGATATAAGAATACTGAATGCAAGGCCAAAGCTCTGGAGGCCTTTAAAGATAATCTTTATCTTTACTTTGGCCTGAAGGAACTGAGAGAACTGTTGCAGTTATCACAGTTCTGTGGCTGTTTGAAAAGCCTGAAAGAAAAGGGGAGAAGGAACTAGATGTGTGAGAGAGGCCAAGAAATTGAGAAAATGTATAGGAAAACATATAGGAAGATCTCCAAAGAAAAAAAGAATGCTAATTGAAGAATGAAAAATTGTATTGAAAAAAAAGACACCAGATTTGTAGTTCTTCCAAAGGCAGAACCCTATGTGGGGAGGAGGGGATTTAGTCTACTATTGAGTAATACCTGAGGAATGTCAAGAAGAGGAAAACAAAAAGTGTTCATAGAGGGAGGGAATATAAACAGTGCTTACAAAAATTTGAGTTACAAATTTTCACCCATACAAAGAAAGCTTTTGCAACTCCAAGCCAGGAGATCCTGGAAAGTAGGAGGTGGGGAAAGGCAGTTTACTGCATGCGACATGTATATGCTTGGCAGCACCATCACAGATTGGGAGGCTAAACTTACTTATTTTGGACGCTATCCTTTCCTGCTGTTCACAGATCTCGTGGTTTGGTTTGCAGTGTTCTTCAATTTATGTAATGGGTAAAATAAAAATTCTATCTTTTTTATACTTGGGCTTACAAATAGCTTCTTGGAATGAAATATGTTCATAAGTAGAGGGCTGCCTTGTATTCCAAAATTGGAAATCCACAGAGGCTAGAAGCTATTAAATAATTCTGAATAATTCTGAGCAATTAAGTGCTGGCATTATCTTACTGTAACAATTGCATTGTAATATTAAATAATTCTGAATAATTCTGAGCAATTAAGTGCTGGCATTATCTTACTGTAACAATTGCGTAAGAGTTGGAAATGCAGAATGAGCTGGTGCAATTGCCATTGCTTTGCTTCAGCCTGGATCAGTGGGGAATCTGCCTGGGGCTAGCCTTTAAGATAAAATTGCTCACGCAGCCACATGAAAGAAAACACAGAGATTTAAAACTTGTACTGGCACCAAGTTTTGATGAAAATGTTTATTTAAACTTTTATTTCATCATACTGAAAGTACTATTAGGTTGCAAAGGAGAGGAATGCCGATTTGCGTGGTCTTACATATATGCATATTTGTAGATTCAAGCTAATGGTATAGTTCCGATTATAGCAAATCCATGTTATCTGAACAATATGGAACTGATTTCTCATTGTCTACATACAGGATTTGTTTAAACTATCCAGGCTAACCTACACTTTCCAAATAGGTTTCCATCTATTTATTAACCAGATCCATGCCTCCTTAGTTTGTTCAAACCCAGTGAAAATAGGCTAGTGCTGCTACTTGTATATTTGTGTATTAGAAGTATGCAGTATATAGAAATGAACTTCTGTGGTATACTATACACTATTATACACTTTATTGGCTAAATCAAGTGCTTTATTGCTTTGAAAACAAGTTGTTTCTATCACCATAAACAAACTTGTCAGCCTGAATACAGATTGCCTGCCTTTATTATTTTTATAACAACTCAAGGCAGTGATATTCCAACAGGTGAGTTGGGTTGAAAATGAGTAACTTGTCCAAGATCATCCAGCTGCCTTTCCTGGCTAAAGTAGGACTAGATCTCATAGTCTCCTGGCTTCTAGCCGGGTGCCTTAATCACTAGACTAAACTGGCTATGGGCTGATTATTGGAGGAAAAGTAACATTGTTTTGTACATTTAAGTCAATTCAGAAAGCATTTGTATTTAAAATTAAAACACCAATGTAAAATATTTCAGCTTTTTGAATTATTTCAACTTTTTTCCTCTTACAGCTGCTTTCGTGTCTATGATGAGTGGCGGTAACATTGGAAAACAGATAGTGCTTGTTTCCAAATAAAAACCATTTCTGATCTACTTTGTGTCTACCAAGAAAAGAAATATTTGCATAAGCCTGGAATAAACTTGTCCTTTGTATCTGTATCCCATTTTGGGGATTAGTAAAATCTTTTGAATCCCTAATTTTTTTCTAAGTTCTTTTGGGGTTTTACTTCCATCTCTTCGATAATTTTTCCCCCAGTCAAAATGTGTTTCTTGGCCTTTAGTAACAAATGATAAAATATTACTGTACTACTGCTATATAAATAAAATATTTACATATAATATAAAACCAAGATTAGTTTTAGCTGTTTGACCAAATGTTTGCAAGCAAATTATGTCTAATTTGACCAATTTGTTATTTGGCCTTTGTTAATATATAGAAAACAATTTCCTAACAACACTATAGTATTATTTCTCAGTTTGAAGATAAATGTAAGCCATAGTTGAAGCAGCTAGGATTTCGTAACCAACTTCAAAACTTTAAAGTTTAAAAAAAATAAACCATGGCTTACTTCCTGAAAGTAAGCAAACCAATTAAAACATATTATATACTGACTTATGTTCTGGTATTTATAAACCAGGCTGTAATCACTACTGAAAGTGAAACAATGAGAATCTTTTCTTGTATACAATGCAACTATTAAAATGTGTTTGTTAATGTAATTTTCTGGTTTGGTCTCTCTTCTGTGATACTGTTCTTTCTGAAGCATTAATAGTGAATGATTGATTTTAGCTGTTCCTATTTTCTCCAACATTTTCACTGTTACCAGAGGTAGGATTCAGCCAGTACAGACTGGTTTAGGCAAACTGGTAGTTCTGGCGATGAGTTGGCCCGCTCACCTACCTCTGCACTAGTCTGTCCTATATTTCCTTTGTTTGAAGCCCAGCTGATAGGCGTGACAGAGTGGATTGCTGCGCCACAGCTGTTTTACTCACTGGGGCTGCAGGAGTAGGTAAGTTTTAGAGCTGTTTTCAAATGCACCGTGCACGTGCGCTCACCAAACCGGTTGTTACACCTGTTGAATCCCACCACTGACTGTTACATAAATTTATTTAAATTAGAATAGTAAACAAGAGAAGACATTTCCTAATTATACGACTAAGTCATGGATTAAAAAAAAAACCTTTCTTACACTTTATGTCCAAATGTTCCAGCTTACAAAATCCAATGTAGCACAATGACCATGAGAATTATCACAAAGGAAGAAGATGCTTCTCTGAGTTCCCTTGTGATAAAGAAAAACTGTGGTAGGAAAGCTTTTAATAATTTGTGAAACAAAAGTTTGCAGAAAAGCCCTGTTCCATTCAGTATGTATCCTTTATGTTGGTTCTTCACTGTCAGGTAAACAAGAAATCAGCAAACAAGGTATCTGCAGAAACAGTACTGTGTCCCTAATACAAGTAGTCCTTGACTTGTGACAATAAACCCAACATTTCTGTTGTTGAGCGAGACAGTTGAGTTTTGTCCCATTTTAGACCTTTCTTGCCACAGTTGTTAACTGAATCATTACACTTGTTAAGTTAGCAACATGATTGTTAACTGAATCTGGATTCCCCATTAACTTTTTGTGTCAGAAGGTTGCAAAAGTTAATCACATGACTCCAGGACTCTCTAACCATCATAAATATGAATTGGTTGTCAAGCATCTGAATTTTGATCACATAACCATGGAGCTGCTCAGCAGTCAAAAGTGGTGAAAAATGGTCATATGTAATTTTTTTCAGTGCCGTTGTAACTTCGAACAATCACTAAATGAACTTTTGTAACTCAAGGACTACCTGTACTTCAGTAGGAATTTTTTACCCTGCAATTCTTACATACTTATCTGAATCAACTCCTAGTGAATTCTATACAAATTACTTTTAAGTAGACATGAGAATGGTTGTATGTGTCAATCAACACGTTAACATTTTCAGGTAAGACGGAAAAATGTTAGCAAATACAAGATTGGAATAAATAGTACACAAAAGCATTTTATTACAACAGAGACAAATTATGGAATTTGAAAAAATATTGAATAAAAAGAAATAAAAGTGCAATGTATATGCAGACTCAACCCGTACGTTATTAACAATGGGGCACAAACCAGAGGTAACACTTATATATATTTTTGCATGTGCATTAGAAGAAAAAATGGCGGAGGCACTCTTTTACAATACACATACATACTTCCAGCCATATCATGTGCAAGATTATATAGAGTCTTATAACTACATCTCTTGGATTATTTTCAGTAAACATACAAACATGCTGTGACTTGACTCATCAGCCATACCCATCCTAATCATAAGCTGTGAATCCTGGAAGCTGAAAAACATCAGGTCAGTTATTGATTATGGCATAAGATAAATTGTATTGGACATTTAGAGACAGACTTCTACAAGGTTTAGCCATTGTCAGTAGGTGCTCATTTCACATGTGTAGTTCTATAATTGACCCATTTTCATATAAGTACAGGATACAGTTAACTGTATTTTTCGCATTCATTATTTTAACAAGATGCAGCACATTCTATTTTTTTACTGATTATCTCAGTTCCTGCATGACAAAAGTGATGAACACTGTTTATTTCAATCTCATTGTGATCCCATTCAGCATAATAATCATGGACCAAGAAAATCAGCAATATTCCATAGCAACCGATTGCTAATAGACTACATTGATCTGTTAAGTGATATATATGCAACATTAATACTGGCAATAATCCAGAAAGCTTTACAAGAAATTATGTGCATTTTAGTGGATTCTTGCCTATCTGAAATTACTAGAGGAAACCACCAGGAATTTGACATAAATCTATCTTCCATATGCAAGCGTGCAGAAGGCACAAACATTTTCATTTTCATCTGAATTCATATATTGAACCATGGCCTTTATATGTATGGTTTGTTTAAGCATTAATTATTTGAAAAAAAAACCACTATTTGTTAAGTTCACACAATATGCTAAATCAAAATAGAACATTTTGATTTTAATTCAGTTTATAAGCCACATGGCCAAGTTTGTACAGCATACTCTGACTCTGAAAACAGTTGGAGAGTAGAAGTTTCCTAAAGCAAAGGAAATGCCTTTCACTAACTCTGATTACGAGTCTTAATGGGCACCTCCATTGCAATCATTTGGGCATCATATTAACAACTCGGACATTACGGACTCTGTTATAAATAATATCGAAAGCACTCATAACATTTTTCTTGTCATCAAATCTGTTACAGTACAATATATATAACCAAAAACTACAGAACTTTTGTTAAAACCAGGACAGTTTGAAAAACATTTTTAAAAAATGGAGGCTGGAGTTGGGGAAATGACTGGGCTTGAAAAGGAAAGTGGACAAAGGTGATTGACATGACTTAACAGGCCTTCAATTAGGGCTGTGTAAGTTACTATTCAGAAAAAGGCAAATATCCTATGTTTAGGTAAATAAAGAAACACAAAAGTAGAAACAATTACAAAGCATTACAATAGTCCATTCATAAATTTTGTCAAGCATTAAAACAGCATGATGTCAAAATCAGTGAGTATTAATATAAATATAAAAGAAAGCAGTTCCTGAGGCAAATAGTGTCACTTTTTTCTACAAGTTTTATTACAGAAGTTTCATAGCAATCCTGAACCTTCATAATCAATTGTCTATGCGATCAGAACATAAGACATACAAACGGGAAGTAGTTCACAGCTTTGTCACTTAACAGTTTAAGTGAATGTATACTTCAGGCTCCTGAAAAAAGGAAACATCAGGAAGTTTGGTAGTTCTTTATATCTATCATAAAGGTTCTCAGCAAAATAGATTCCATTGCCCAAATTCTGTAGACCAGGAAGAGGGTTAGTGCAACAACCCCAGTTTTTATTGGAGAAAGAAAAAAAGAAATAGTTCCATATGCCTTCAGTACGAAGTAACAGGAAAAGACTTGCCAGAAAAATAGAAGTAACATTGTTAAATGGATGGGCACAGTCCAATATGGTTTGGTAAGATACAGATGAGAACGAAAACATTGGCCCTGGCAACGCAGCAATAGGCACCAACATGTGTACGCCATCAGTGGTAGGTTGAAAAATAACACCTATCAAACAAAAACATTCTCAGAGCACATGCAGAAATAGAAATACATAAAATTATTCCAAACACCTGGCACATCAATCCATAAATAAAATGCAGATATAGTATATCTGTAATGGTATATAGGAATGACTGTAACTTTACAATAAAGTAGAATTAGATGATCTGGCCATGTTCCCTGTCTGGTTTTCCTTGCATGACTGACATCTCAGCCTCTTATAGCTAGGTTTCATTTAGCTATAGTAACTAAGCTGATAACTAAGAAAACAAGCAAATGTGACAACAAATAGCCACTTTCTTCCTGGAACACTTTAAAACATTGCCTTACCTAAATTTCATCTTTCAGTTTTGTACACTATGAACTTCAGAAGCTTACAATAAGCTGAAAAGCATCAATTTTTAAACAATTATACCCTCACATATTAATAAAACAATATATGTTACACACTTGAGTGGGAGAACACTTGTGGATTTAACACACTCCGAAAACCATTGATCACATATTTAAAAAAATTGATGAATTTATTTTCAAATAGTGGGGAATTAAAAATACTAGTGAAAGAGAAGCTCATTCATATTTTTCAGCAGGAAGTTCCATTAATCACTACAAACATGTAGAGCAGGGCTGTCAAACTCCCAGCCCATAGGCCGGAAGGGTCATGCGCTGGCCACGCCCACACCCGGTTTAGTGAAGGGGGGAAAAATCCTGATGCATCATGTTTGACACCCCTGATATGTAGAGGGTGCTGTGGGCCCATGACAGGAAACTAGCCTACATCAGTGTTTTTCAAACTTGGCTACTTTAAGATGTGCAGCTGTGGACTTCAATTCTGGGAGTTGAAATCCTCACATCTTAAAGTTGCCGAGTTTGGGGGTGGGGGTGGGGGAGATTGAAATGAGAGATCCTTGGTGCTTTCTGAGCTTGGTTGTTTTCTTGTAGACAGTTCATTATCCAAACTAGGTAATGTCTTGTTACGATGTTTCCTTGTTTTGGGTAATGAAACATCTGCAAGAAAACAACCAAGCTGAGAGAGCACCAATGACCCCTCAAAATGACCTACAATTAACTTTTAAATAATCAAAGCAATGAGGTTATAGCTGTCCCCAAGTCAAGTAAAAACTGCAATTACAAAAGGTTTCTCCAGTGGGAAAATACAGAAAGTTGGCTTAATATACAATTTCAAAATAGAACCTCAGCAGTATCAACAGTTCTTCATATGAGATAAAATGGAAAAAGCAGATCAAGCCTCAAGCAAATTTACTCCAAGTAGATGTCCATAAAATGCTCTCTCTGGAACTGCTGTGACAAATGTTCAAAACTTCATCTTGTGTGAAGCTGCAACAATCAGGCCCATTTCACATTTATTTATGACCTTACCTGAACTTCAGTGACTGATCTGTGGATAGGTCTTGAAGTGCAGGAGATTAGAAAATCCTATAAGAACTGGGGCCAAATTATTTGAAAGTGTGTCTCCTTTTTCAGCATTACAAGAAGCACAGCCTGGAGAGGTGTGGGGCCCCAAACAATTGCCTTTCATTTCCCATTTACCCTGCCCCCTTGACAAAGCTGTCTTCCCCCTCCTCTGTAGTATGCTTGGCTACTTACACTTGCCCTGCTTTCTACTAAGATGGGGCTGTCATTTGCATCCACAAGTGGGTTAGCAGGGACACAGGAAAGAGTCTGACAGAAATAGCAAGACTTACTACAGTGGCCTTCCTTGGTAGGTTTATTGGCTCCCTCTTTTAACTATTGGTGAGTTGCGAAAATGTTTTTATTTTGCCCAATACTTGGCTTTACCCGACATGCTACAAATATTTGTAAGAGAGGTCTCAGTTCTTTTGTTTGTCATTATGGTTTTTGTGTGATTTTTCTTTTGTAAATAAATAAATTGTTTTAATAAATAAGTGCCATGGGAATCTTACTGTCAAAAGGCAGGAGAGGGAGGGAGGCATAAGTTCTAAACAAATACATACCTATTCCAACATTATTCCAACATTAACAATTACGTGGAAAGTTAAATTTGTTCTGAAGAAATTGTATACATCTGAATAGTCTACTAAATGTACTACTGGAAGCTTGTTATAGTTATATTAACAAGCAATGCTCTCTCTAAGTTTTTTTTAAATCTTGTAACTCATTTAACTATTGGAAAAAAAGATCAGAAGATTGTTTTAAAAAACTATGCTGAGAGTCCTACCTGTAAAATTCCAACAGCGAAGGTTGAGACGCCTTCAAAGAACTGGCCATTAACAATTAACCCAAAGGAAAAGCAGACACCCACATGGTCATCTATAAGCTCACCAATGAACCAGGGTCCTGATAGGAAGAAAAATGGTATTATATTAAGCATATCCACAGCATTAAATAAACATTTTTCCAGTTTGAAATCCTTGCTAATAATCACTAGGACAAAAAGATCCATGCAAGTAACAAACTCCTATAAATAATGCCATTTGATCAGTATAATCTATTCAGTTAATTAATTCACATATCAAACTATGCTTTGGTCACAATATTATAAACTATGGTTTTTAAACCCCAATGGGAATGGTTTGTTCAACAAGTTAAACCAGAACCAAATCAACCAGATTATTGTAATTATTGTGATGTGTGAATTTAGTAAGATATTTCAAATTAGACATAAAGGATTCTAATTTTTATATCTTATTATTTCTTTGCCTTTTGTAAGAGAAATCAAAGTACAAATACTTTAAAATGTAACTTTTACTCCCAAAACAGGCATTTTTAAAGAGATGCTACCTTCCAAAAAATAGATGTGATTAAGAAATGTGGGTTTGGCCATCACTTCTGTCATGGACTCAGTGGCCAATAAAAAACAGATACATTAAAATAAAATAAAAATGCATTAGAAGCTGCATCATAAGCAGCAAACAGTAATGCTGGAAAATATAAAGAGTGAAGATTTGAGCAAAATTATCAGAAACATCTTAGTTTGGAGCAGGGATGTTGCTTTTTTATAAGTGCAAGTCCTGACAAGAGACAGTCCTCAATTTATGATCAAAATTGGGACCATAGCTAAGCAATATGATTGTTAAGTAAGTTGTATGCAATTTTATGAATTTATTGTCATGGTGGTTAAGCAGATCACCATGGTCATTAAGCAAATCAAGTGACTGCAGGGAAGCTGCAATGGTTGTAAGTGCAAGGACCAATCAGTCATCAGTCACTTTTTAGCATTGTCATATCTTGAACTGGTCATTAAATTAAATAAGTCGTACATGTAGGACTACCTGTGTATTCTTCTCAATAATTCTATACGCTGGAATCCTTGGCAAGCCACTACATACAAAGCTCACCATTTTTTGTTCATCTTGGTATGTAGTGCCTAAGAAATCATCTCATATGTATCAGTTAAGCATGAGCAAGTCTAGTCAGTTCTTGAATGGAGGGCTTTCAGAAAATCACAGGACTACAAGCTAGACTGAGAAGCTGAAAAACTATCCTGGGAAAAGGCAAGAGCAAACTGTTTCTATACTGCAATCAAGAAAACAATCTATTACACATACTCTACAGGTAGTCCTCGACTTACAACAGTTCTTTTTGTGACAGTTCAAAGTTACAACAGCACTGGAAAAAGTGACATGACCGTTTTTCACACTTACGACCATTGCAACGTTCCAATGGTCACGTGATCAAAATTCAGATGCTTGGCAACTGACTCATACAGTATTTATGACTGGTGCAGCATCCCAGGGTAATCAACTTTTGTGACAGGCAAAGTCAATGGGGATGACTTTACAACCGTGTGACTAACTTAATGGCTGCAGTGATTTACTTAAGAACTGTGACAAGAAAGGTTGTAAAATGGAGCCAAGCTCATTTAACAACTGCCTTGCTTAGCAATAGAAATGTTGGGCTCAATTCTGGTTGTAAGTTGAGGAGTACTGTACACTATGTGTCCATGAAATTATCAGAATCTGAGTTCTACTACAAGGAGATTTTCCTGCTTTTAAAAAATCTATGAAGGGTTTGGGTTTTTTAAAATCTAAATTATGCCAATACATGGTTCAAATGATTATATTTGTAAGAATTCATTATTATTTTTCATTTAGAACCCTATTAAAATGTTTTGCAATAAAGCCTTCAGAAATTAATAAACTACTTTTCACATTCTGTGCACTTACCTAGAACAGTATATAAATTCAGCAACAGAAACGAGTAGAAGAATAAATCTATTTTGCTCAGGATATGAAGAGAAAAAGAGGTTCCTACAGCCACACCCAGAGGTTCTGAAAGAGTAACATAATCTCAGTTCAAAATTATTGCTTGCTGCTGCTGAAAACATACCAGGTCACAATTTTAGAAAGTAACTCATCATCAACAGCTAGTGAAAAGTTGGATTAGAACCAGTGTTCCACTTGTTCTAGAATCTAGAAGGTACAGTATTAGACTAGAATTAGAGACAATCTGGTTTAAGTCTATTCTTAGCCACAAAAGTTATTCAAGTGATTTTGGAGCAATCACTCTCAATTCAGTTAACCTTATAGATTATTGTGAGGAAAAATTAGAGGAGTGCAACATACATTGCTTTGAATTCCTGAAGAAAATGTATATAGAAATCTAACAAATTATAATAATAAAATAAAATGTCTTAAATACATTTGTCTAAATCAATTCAAGATGTACAACATAATCGCCCCCACTTAGGTTTTTAAATATTTAGATGTGAATGCCACAAACATATCACAAATAAAAATAAGAGAAATCCTAATATTTATTCTAATATTTCAAAATGAACCTCTATTCTGATACTGGAATCTAATAGCTATTTTATGTGATTAAAAGCTAGCCCAACTCAAATGGTGTCATCAGTTTTCTAAGAATATTCTTATTAGAAAACATCAACCTATACGAGATAATACTGTAGCTATGAAGTAGTCACAAATGACCTGCTGATGTTTGTCCCATCGTCACGTTACCCAAATTTTGCTGGAGCAAAATTCTGGAAGTACAAAGGAGGCTAGCTGAGTACATCTTATAATCAATATCTATCTTCCATATTTGGGCAATGTAGGGACTGATATAGGCATTGGTCAATTTTTCAAAAACATAATTTCATTTCAACCAAGTACACCAATGTTACTGCCACCATTACTGATATTATAATCGGCTCTAGGCAAATTAAAAGATCCTCAATGACAACTAAGACCAGTGAGAGTTTCACTTGGAAAATTATATATATAAAACATATATATATATAAAACATAGTATGGCAAATAGGCGGAGCATGGCTTCTGCAATTCTTTATCAACAGTCGCCAAATACAGAGAGGTCTATGTTTTCTTCTCTGTAACTAAATAACATGCTGTGTCTCTGTGTCTGTGTTTTTCTCTTTCTGCCAGGACTTTCCTGTGTTTGCGTGCAAGTTGCCCTGTGAAACATAGGGCAGATTACATACTCTTTGGGACAAATGCCCGGGGGCAGGGGAGCAGACAAGACTTAAAGAGCAATAATCTCAGTCACTGCCCAACTATCTCTCTGAGTAGGAGGCACTGTGAATTTTTCTCTGTTGTATTTTTCTCTGCAGCCTCCAGTTGAATCTAGCCTGTTACTGAGCTAGTTCTTTCTTTTGTTGGTTTTTCCCATGATAGTAACTTTAGGTTCCTTCTGTACGGTCTTCAGAGACTTAATCTGGACAATTACTGAGAGAATTGAGACTCTCTTCCATAATTTCTTTTCAACATTCCATGATGTTTGAAAGAAGAAAAATAAAGTGGAGAGGAGAGAAAAGGAAAAAGGATCAGCATAATTGCTCTTACTTTTAAATTTAGGTTTTGCTCGAAACCGGAAAATAATCAGCAAAGCAACTTGAAATATAATTGTTAATACAAAGAATGTTCGTACCTGAAAAAAAAAAGTCAAAAGCAGTATGATATATTTTGAAAATGGAAAAATAAAAAGGTTAGCTAGTATTAACTAACTTTCTCTATTATTAAGAAATATATGAACAGAAGCTTCTTCTCTCCTGTACCACAAAGAATTTCCTAAAAATGGAGAGGGTTTGCCTTTTTTGTCTCTCTCCTTCCCTTTCTGTTCCTATATACAGCAGGAAGTGAGCAATTAAGATACCTTGCATTCCTCGTCACCATAGAAACGGCCTGCCACGAGGCAGAGTTCTCACCACAACCGCTAAACAACTCTGACGCACAACGTGGAACCTACACCAACCTCAAAAGGTACTACCTACATATGTGGGGGTGGATACCAACCTCCTCATAAAGTACTCTCTGGTGAGCCATGTACCGTCCACAACACATGCCCTCGAGCCAGAACGCCACGCCTACGATGACGGCATACGAAGAGATGACTTGCCCTCACAAAGAAGTAACAGAACCATCACTAAGGTATGGAAGGTTAGACTTAGCAGCCAGCAGTGTGTACAAATTCAACGACAAGCCAGGCAGAGAATACCTACTATGGAAGTCTATTTTCACGAGCACCGCCCAAAGCGAACAGCTGCTTCCCGGTGAAGAACTTAAATTTCTGTTGGCATGGCTAGGACCACGGTCTAGCTACATGGTGAAACACATTTACACAGGCTTACTTAACGACCCAGACACTGCTCTAAAACGAGCGTGGGATGCTTTGAACCGGAAATATGGCAAAGACACATTGATGGAATACTCGCTCCTAGAATGACTTTACAGTTTCCTGTGTATCGCCATCCATGAAACCCAAAAACTAGAGGACTTTTCCAACATCCTTACAGAGCTGTGAACAGCCAAAGAATGTTCCGACGTACCAGGACTGGCTTGCCTTGATCTCTTCATAATGCAAGAAGCAATCATCGCCAAACCCCCAAAAGAAATATTAGATTGATGGATTGTTTTGTCTGATGCTTTTCTGGCCGCAAACCGCAGACGAGACCCACCCTTTGCCTTTCTCCAAGAATTTGTCTTCCAGCAAACAGAGTCCTGCAACAGTTTCAGAAACCTTCGCCTCAGATGCAGAGTTTACCAACCTGACAGAGACCGCTATTGCAACTCTGGACCTCTCCAGCTTCTACTGCACATCTCTACAGATCATCACCAAACGTCAACACATAACACCGAGATCGACTCCTCATCCACACACAGTTGGGGAGAGAACTCATCAGATACAACCCAATTTAGATCTCCGAATACAAGGAGAATACAGCACACTCGTCACGCGCTGAACAGCTGCACTGGGTTTGCAGCGAAATCACTGACCCAACAAAAAGAGTTGCTAAGGGAGTACCAATACTGCTACAAGTGTTGTGAATCCAAACACCCGTCCAAGTACTGCACAGCCAAGGTGCAATGCGATTTATGTAATAGTGACCAGTACCCGACCAGACTCTGAGCCGTCACTGCAGATATCTCGTAGCCCTCCTTCGGACAAGGAGCCTCAACGTAACACAGAAGCATACAGGACTCCTCAACAGACTGCCAAACCGCAACCAAAACCGAGGATGAGTGTCAACTGCACAGCACTGTGCGCCGACTCACCATGCCCTCGTTCGTGTCTTCCCATCTGTTTGGCCAAAGTGTACCCTGAAGGATGCCCTGAAGATGCCATGAAATGTACATGCGGATAGACACTCAAAGCACCTGCACCCTGGCCAGACCTGCATTCTTCGACCTCTTTGAAGTACAACAGGACGAACTTCCCTTCACTGTATCAACATGCCATGGACCAAGAAGCACGGCGGGGAGGAGAGCTACTGGACTCTGCACAGAGTCATTGGATGGAAGTTCCCGGTTCCCACTGCTGCCCGTGTTTGAATGCAATGGGGTACCGAACGACCGCAGTCATATTGCAACACCTGAGGTCATAAGTAGTATGCCTCACCTACAGCAACTGGTTCATCACTTTCCCGCTCTAGATCCGGAGGCTGAGATCCTACTCTTGCTGGGAAATAATGCCCCACATGCCTTTCTCTTCTCCAAGTCAGTCGGCGGCCCTGTAGACGGCCCAGTGGCCATCAAATCTCCACTAGGATGGGGGATCATAGGAATTGTCAGTGATGATCAGATGCAGGCTCCAACCCAGACAAATGGCTTAGTACCATCCATTTCAACTGCCTCCTGATGCCCTTTAGCACCATCAAAACCAAGAATGCCGTTGCAGCCTAAAAGGCTGCCGGCAATCGGTACACTTTTGCTAGGACACCCTAAATAGCCGCCAGCAACCACCAGACGTCCACTAAGACGCTCTACACAGGCATATGCCTACGCAACACCCTTTCCAACACCTTCCCAATGCCGTTTGACACCGTGGAAGCAAAAGTACCGTTCCAACCCTAAAAGGCCACCAGAAGCGACCACAAGACTTTCACCTTTGCTACCAAGAGTTCCTGTATACCCTAAAAGGCCGCCAAAGGTGACCAGCAGACTTGCACCAAGAGCCCGAACTTGAAGATTGAACCTCAAGCTTTGCATGCTTTGCTTTGTTTGATGCTTTATTAATGTTTACTGTTTTTCTTAGTTATATAGTTATATGCTATTCAGTTAGTATTACTGCCTACTGCTATTTTAATTTATAGTTTAAATTTTTTTTCTTCCTTTAATAGTGGAATTTACAATTCCAGGCGGGGAGTGTGCTGTCCAGACAGTTTAGAGTTAATGGGATTTGGATAGTTTGGTAGCAATTGTGAGCTGTCCCCTTAAGAGAATGCATCATGGTAAATGTAGTTAAGGTATCCTGGGAAATGCAGTCCATGTCACGTGACCACATCTGTAATTCTAATTGGTCACTGAATTGACCCTCGATGGGTTGGGGGAGTTTTCCTCACTCTTGGCTGAACTCATGGACCCGTGGTAACTCTTCTACTTCTATCGTTACAAGGTGGGAGAAAAAGGATAGGAGATAAACCATCTTTTTACCTACAAGACAGATATGCAAAGGATTGGTCATTAAAGAAGAACTTCGTCACAAATGTGAGTTATGAGGATACCTGATGAACCAATAAAAGTACTTTGTTATGGCTGTTTTGTGGAGTTTATCTATCTGCATCTGTACGGGATACAGAACACTCCCCATTTCCATTCAGAGACAAAGTCCATCCAAATAAGAATTAGTTCAGGCCCTAATGGGGAAGCAGCTAAGTGGGTGTAGTTGATCTATTAACACATCCTACCTCCTCCCGCATGCTACACTTGCCCTCATCTTGCACTATAGTAGTTGATTTTTTGTACTAAAGTATTTATGTTTTTAATTTATGTAGTTTTTATCTTTTAAGCCTCCCAGAGTAACTTTGACATAAGAAGGGAGGCCAATAACTTTTACAAAAAAGCAAATAAATAAATTCCATTACACCTGACTTCTTCCAACACAACTCCCATTACACCTGCCTTCTCCAATCTTCCTTTCTCACTTTCTCCCACTGCCGCTCAGCTTTCACTGGACCCATTAGGTTTTGCTCCCAAGCTGCTATATATGTGGAGTGAGAGCTGCACTGTGCTTGTCCACAACTCCACCCTAGAGGGTCTCAGGGGTAGAAGGCGAGAGGAAGCTTGTTTCCAGTGCACCACATACTGTATATATTTTGCCAATGCAAACCAACCCGCCCATCTTTTTCCGCCATCGTCAGGACTAGAGTTTCTATTGCTAAGCAAGGTGGTTAAGTGAACTGTGCCCGATTTCATTATCTTTTGGGTCACAGTTGATAAGGAAATTGTTGTAGTCTTTAAATGAAACAGTTCCACAGAGGAATTATTAGGTCTATCATCTGCACCTCTATAACTGTCTGGTTTGGTTCTGCAACCCAACAAGACAGACACAGGCATCAGACAGTAATTAGGACTGCAGAAAAAACAATTACTACCAACCTGCCCTCAATCTAGGACCTGTATACTGCATGAGTCAAAAAGAGGGTTGTGAAAATATTTACAGACCCCTCACACCCCGGACATAAACTGTTTCAACTCTTTCCTTCAAAATGACACTATAGAGAACTGCACACCAGAACAACTAGACACAACAACAGTTTTTTTCCCGAAAGCTGTCACTCTGATAAACAAATAATTCTCTTAACACTGTTCAACTATTACAAAGTCTGCACTACTATTACTGTTAATCTTCTCATCACTCCTTATCACCAATCCCCTCCCACTTGTGACTGTATGACTGTAACTTTGTCGCTTGTATACTTAGGATTTATATTGACTATTTCCTAGTATGATTTGATTGCTTATTGTACCCTATGACTATCATTAAGTGTCGTACCCTAGGAGTCTCGACTTGACGAATATATCTTTTCTTTTATGTATACTGAGAGTAATTTACACCAAGACAAATTCCTGGTGTGTCCAATCACACTTGGCCAATAAAGTATTCTATTCTATTCTATTCTATTCTATTCTATTCTATTCTACTCTACTCTACTCTACTCTACTCTACTCTACTCTACTCTACTCTACTCCACTCCACTCCACTCCACTCCACTCCACTCCACTCCACTCCACACCACACCACACCACACCACACTCCACTCCACTTCACTCCACTCCACTCCACTCTATTCTATTCTATTCTACCTGTATATCCATGTATCCATCCGTCCATCCATCTATCCATCCCTCTATTGTTCACCGCTTATCTGAAAGAATACTTACCCATATATAGTGGTCAGTAAGAAGAAGCCAAGATGCCAAAAGATCAAATTTAAGAGAAAGGCTTTCCTGCATAGCAAATGTATGAAGCTGAGTGGCACTTCTACCACTGATATCCTGAAAACAGGACCAAAACAAGGATTATTGAACTTTTCAGTACTATGCTCCATTTTTTTTTGTTTTTTTGTTTAACATCCCCCACCATCACCACCACTATGCCTCCCCACCCAAAGGGGAGATTTCTGTTAAATCAATCAGTCATTTTGTGCAAATCTGGTTTCCAGTCCTCATCTTCCCATAGATCTGGTGTTAATCGAACCATTAACCCAATGAGCTCCTATTCTAGCAGTGCCTTCTCTTATTCCCATAAACTCATACAGTCCCTGATGATCCTATGACATGCCTGCCAATCTTCTCAGCACCACCCTCTCGTCCAATAATCTGCCTACCTTACTTCCTTTGAAAATGACTGGACTGGCTTCACTACATTTTTTAAAATAATATTTCTAAAATATCCAAATAACACCCCCCCCCCCAAGTTTCTACATGCCTCCATTCAATTCGTGCACTTCACGCCTATTATACATGATATGATATAATAGGAAAGCAACTAATTGCTATTAATAAAATATCCAGTTTAACAACTAAGGTATATTCTAATGGCAGACTTGCATACTTAAGGTTCTTGTTATTAGCTGCTTAAATACTGTATTTTCTAGCCGTCTTTACTGTACCATTTAATTTTGGTCATATCGTTGAATGGTTGACCCAGTCTATCTTTCACTATTTAACTGTGCTGCCAAGTAATTGAGACAATGCCAGACATTTTTTTATTTTGTTTATTTCATTGTTTATATTTCTTATTCTTTTACCAGAATGGCAGGTTCCCCCACTGTTTGGGGTAGTAGAATCATTTGAAAGTACATTGAAGATATTCTCATAAAATGCCTGCTAAGGTGGGATTGCCTAGTCAGAAAACATCCTTTACCAGAAGGAGCCATGGTGGCGCAATAAGAATGCAGTATTGCAGTTAAACCCTGCCAACTGCCTGGAGTTCGATCCTGACCGGCTCAAGGTTGATTCAGCCTTCCATCTTTCTGATGTCGGTAAAATGAGAACCCAGATTGTTGGGGGCAATATGCTGTCATTTGTAAACCCCTCAGAGAGTGCTGTAAAGCACTATGAAGTGATATATAAGTCTAAATGTTATTACTAGTGAGAAGCTGCTATCATCTTCCCACATGAATTTCCTTCTTCTATCCCTTCCTCCTTCCTCCTCCTCCTTTTTTGCAATACCCAGACTTCTGAGAAAACTCTTCAATATATTGGGGATATTTTTATTTTGGAAACAGAGTATAAAGGTTGAGATTGATGCTCTGTAGCATGCTAGCTTCCCATTTAATTTTTCATATTAAAATATATTTTTTTAAAAATGAAGTTGGCTATGGAGCCTGGTGAGTATTTAGAGGCACCTCTGGATATATTGGTATCTATAGATACCATGCTGTTGAAACATACCTATCCTTATACTACATCTAGTACTCCTGCTTAGAGTGGCTAGAAGACAGTAATATCTCCAAGGTTACTTATTGAATAATCACGGATAAGCAGAGATTTTGCCAAATGCATTTTTCAGTAAACATATGATAGAATGATGAACAGTAGCAGAAAACTCTCACCTTCACAGTTACAGCTATCTGGTGAAATCCTTGACTGTAGTTTTTGGGGGACCATTTCAGGACGTAGAGAGGTCCAGACACCTGAATAGCATCTCCAAGATAAATGTCATCAATCATGATCTTCACAAACTTGATAGGAGAAGGAGAGAAGGCCAAAATTCTAAGTACAAGAATATAATGGGATTTATTAATGATATCACAGATATGCTTAACAGCAATAGCAATAGCACTTAGACTTCTATACCGCTTCACAGTGCTTTACAGCCCTCTCTAAGCGGTTTACAGAATCAGCATATTGCCCCTAACAATTTTTGGTGCTCACTTTACCCACCTCGGAAGGATGGAAGGCCAAGTCAACCTTGAGCCTGGTGAGAGTTGAACTGCCAAATTGCAAGCAGTCAGCAGAAATAGCCTGCAGTACTGCACTATAACCACTGCACCACTGTGGCTCCTTTAAAAGCCATTATGTTTATACAGTATGTAGTGTAATGCTATAGGGAGAAACACATATTACCTACCCTCACTGAAGTATTTCAATAATTTACTATCTCATTATAGTCTTGACCGTGATCAATACAGGGTACAATTTGTAGAATGATTGCTTGGAAAACCAATATAAAATAAAAATGTAATTAGAAACAGCAGTGCAATGAAAGAAGAATGCAGGGGAAGATAATTCCAGGATTTTTTCCAGCCATTGTTCACTAGTATAATCTGCACATTCTGCACTAGTATAATCTGCACATTCTGACAGTTAGATGAGGTGATAAAAAATAATTTCAAATTTTATTATTGTTTGAGACATTGTCATACACTATGAAAAGAACCATATTTCTATGGCATTCCTCTCTGAATTAACAATACAAATGGTAGTACTTCTTTTGTAAGAGGGTTATCTTCCAATTAGATGAATTATAATAATACACTGCTCAAAAAAATAAAGGGAACACTTAAACAACGCAATGTAACTCCAAGTCAATCACACTTCTGTGAAATCGAACTGTCCACTTAGGTAGCAACACTGATTGACAATCAATTTCACATGCTGTTGTGCAAATGGAACAGACAAGAGGTGGAAAGCATAGGCAGTTAGCAAGACATCCCCAATAAAGGAGTGGTTCTGCAGGTGGTGACCACAGACCACTTCTCAGTTCCTATGCTTTCTGGCTGATGGTTTGGTCACTTTTGAATGCTGGTGGTGCTTTCACTCTAGTGGTAGCATGAGACGGAGTCTACAACCCACACAAGTGGCTCAGGTAGTGCGGCTCATCCAGGATGGCACATCAATGCAAGCTGTGGCAAGAAGGTTTGCTGTGTCTGTCAGCGTAGTGTCCAGAGCATGGAGGCGCTACTAGGAAACAGGCCAGTACATCAGGAGACGTGGAAGAGGCCGTAGGAGGGCAACAACCCAGCATCAGGACTGCTACCTCTGCCTTTGCGCAAGGAGGGACAGGAGGAGCACTGCCAGAGCCTCGCAAAATGACCTCCAGCGGGCCACAAATGTGCATGTGGCTGCTCAAACGGTCAGAAACAGACTCCATGAGGGTGGTATGAGGGCCCGGCGTCCACAGGTGGGGGTTGTGCTTACAGCCCAACATGGTGCAGGACGTTTGGCATTTGCCAGAGAATACCAAGATTGGCAAATTCGCCACTGGTGCCCTGTGCTCTTCACAGATGAAAACCGATTCACACTGAGCACGTGACAGACGTGACAGGGTCTGGAGACGCCGTGGAGAACATTCTGCTGCCTGCAACATCCTCCAGCATGACTGATTTGGCAGTGGATCAGTAATGGTGTGGGGTGGCATTCCTTTAGGGGGCTGCACAGCCCTCCATGTGCTCGCCAGAGGTAGCCTGACTGCCATTAGGTACCAAGATGAGATCCTCAGACCCCTTGTGAGACCATATGCTGGTGCGGTTGGCCCTGGGTTCCTCCTAATGCACGACAATGCTAGACCTCATGTGGCTGGAGTATGTCAGCAGTTCCTGCAAGATGAAGGCATTGATGCTATGGACTGGCCCGCCCGTTCCCCAGACCTGAATCCAATTGAGCGCATCTGGGACATCATGTCTCACCCCATCCACCAACGCCACATTGCACCACAGACTGTCCAGGAGTGGGAGGATGCTTTAGTCCAGGTGTGAGAGGAGATCCCTCAGGAGACCATCCGCCACCTCATCAGGAGCATGCCCAGGCATTGTAGGGAGGTCATACAGGCATGTGGAGGCCACACACACTACTGAGCCTCATTTTGACTTGTTTTAAGGATATTACATCAAAGTTGGATCAGCCTGTAGTGTTTTTTTCCACTTTAATTTTGAGTGTAACTCCAAATCCAGACTTCCATGGGTTGCTAAATTTGACTTCCATTGATAATTTTTGTGTGATTTTGTTGTCAGCGCATTCAACTATGTAATGAACAAAGTATTTAATAAAAATATTTCATTCATTCAGATCTAGGATGTCTTATTTTTGTGTTCCCTTTATTTTTTTGAGCAGTGTACTTTATTTGCGGTCACAGACCAAAACACAAGTACAACAAAAGAAGAACATGGGAAAATTAATCATGAACAATTGGTCATGAAAAACTTGACTAAGGGGAATTACAGTGTTCTCCTCTGATGGTTACAGCTCTTAAAAAAAATTTGGAAACCAAAGAAGTGATATATGAGGAGCCAACCCTTGTAAGAGGGTTACCTTCCAATTAGATGAATTTTTGCTAATGTTCACCTTCTTTTGCAATTCGAACCTCTGCAGTCAAAAGTAAGCACCAACGAAATCTAACTATATTCTTAACTACAGATTCTGATTCAAGTAATTTTCTTCTTTGCGGTGTGTTTTGTGCAAAAGAGAGAGAACAAGGACTCCGGATTTATTTTTTACTTCAAATGCTGTGTAAACCCAGACCATTATGCTGTATTCAATAAAACATGGAAAAACAAATCACGGCATAGCAGGTTGCATAAACTACCGCCCATGCCTATATGTGTTAAGCAACCTTGTTATTTAACTGTGTGCGTCATTTCAATCCAGGCTATGAGCCAAAATGCAGCCAAGGCAAAACATAATAATCTTGTGATAATAATGGTTTAATTCTGTCTAGCTTGCTATTAGCATGTTTTTAGTATGTTGTCCAAAATTAGATATTTTGTTGCTGGACAAAGTAACTACCATTATTTTGCCAGAAGAAAGATGGGTTCCTAGAGCATTGACAAAGCAAAGTTGCTGCAGAAGAAACTTCTCCGTTGTTTCAGTCTTTTTCATCATTCAAAGCATGCAAGGAATTAATTGTGGGCATAAAGGATTTAACTATTCCTTCTCTCCCCCACCATCCTCCATGATATGTCCTATACTAATTGAGCTACGATGCTTTCTCTATTTTTTACATTTTTTTAAAAAGCAATACAGAAGCAATAAGAAAGTTGGCTGAGATATTTTGACTTTGCAGCAAAGATGATGCAAGCAACTGCAAGAATGATTAATTGGACTGGCTCTAGGATGACTGGCAGGTTAGCTCCCACATCATTGCTAATATTACTATAACATTTCCATATGTTCCAAAACACGTAAGTTACCTAATATGGGTAGAATGAAGAATTCTCTGTAGCGGTTCATGAGCATAGCTACTATAAAGGTATGATTTAGGATTGGTGATAAGAATTACAGGCCATTCCTCAAATTTCAGGTCAGCAAAACTGAAGAGATCATGATCAAAAGCAAGAATCCGATACCTGGCATTCAACAATTAAAACAATATTTTAGTTAACAAGGAACATTTTAAACAATAGAAGCCCATTATTAAGATATTTATTTACTTATTAATTTTATATGCCATCCATCTCCCTGATCAGGTGACTCTGGGCAGCTTACAGATTATGAAAAGATACATAGAAAAGCAGTTAATTTTTTAAAATTATTTTTAAAAAAAACCAGCAACCCATGAACCAAGAGATGGATGGTACAGGGATGAGGTCGTCTTACCCCATTAGCCACCACCAGTGGTGAGCATCCCATACCTTCATGGTCCCAAACTAGCTAGCAAAGCCATGTTTTAATACCCTTCTGGAAGGCCAAAAGGATGGGAAAGTTTTCCCTTCTGGTGGTGCTGAAGGGACCACAGCGAAAAAGGCTCTTCTGTTTGACCTGCCCATTTGACCTGCAGACGGGGTCCGTAATAAACCTCTTCTGTTGGCATGAATGGGGTGAGTTAGTCTCTTTGGGTGAGATGGCTCCTCAAAAGGTAATAACTAACACCTTGAACTGATCCCAAAAGCAAACTGGTAACCAGCTTGTGAAATAGTGGGGTTATATGTGCCACCCTAGGGGCCTACAGAACTGTGCACGCTGCTGCATTTTCTGCACTTGCTACAGTTTCTGAATGCTCTTCAAGGGTAGTCCCGTGTAGACTGTGTTGCGGTAATCCAATCAAGAGATGATAAGGGCATGAATGACCATGTGCAATCCCTCATGATCCAGGTAAGGGAGCAACTGGTGCACAACACAAAGTTACTCAAAGGCCCCTCTAGCCATGATTGTCCCCTGCTCTTCAAGCAGGAGCCACGAGTCCAGGAGAATGTCCAGTTTGCATAATGGGCCTATCAGGGATAGTGCAACCCCATCCAGAACTAAAAATGATAAACAACTGGATCCTGAGGTCCCTTGCACCCACAACCACTCTTGTCTTGCTGAGGTTCTTCTCCATTCATTGATTGTTCTCCCCCATTCAGACCCCTACAGCTTCCAGGCACTGAGAAATGACAGAAAGTAGAAAATAAATAAATAGTGCCTTTGAATTGGACATTTACTTACTTCCTACTAGTCTTCCAGTCTCCCAACTCCAGTTCTAAAGTCCCATCAGGATGACGAGTATGAAGGACAGGCACCAAGCCACCCAATGTATGGAAATGCCCACACAAATAAACTAAGGCAGAACTAATCAAAGCAAAATATATTATTAATGCATAGCATACAATCTCTTTACTTGGGACTTTTACCATTGTAAATTCTAAAAAACAACAACCAGGAGCTTAGCAACATAATAATAATAATAATAAAACAAACAATGTTTAACTATTGAAAGGAGCAGAACTACAGAATTAAAAGATGGGAATTCAAAGCTATAAAGGAATCCAAAATTCATACTCTGCTATCTAAAAAGCTGAAAAGAAAAAATGGCATCAAAAAAGCTTTGGTGTAATACCCTCGGTCTAGACTGAACTATATCAAGATTGACTAGCTTCATCTGGCAGTCAATACTGGGCAGGTTTTGCACATTATTGCTTAGAACTTGGCAATATTATACATTATGAAGGAGATGATGTCAAAGGATAGTGGAGGAATGACAAATTGGTCTGCATTGCCTTGCAACCCGTTGAATAAGTCTCTGTAAAATGAGCAGGAGAAGAGACTGTGGTTTTGATTTGTTCACTGCATGTCCTGAGAAAGGGAATCTTCTTAATGCCTTTTGCTCACTTAGGAAGGGGCATTACAACATAAAGAATTATTATTTTTTTAGAAATACTAGCTTCTAGCCAATTAACAATGTAGTTTAAACAATAATTATTTCTTATTGTTCCTTAATACAAAATGAATGAGTTATTTTAAAATGCAGAAAGTAAACAATTCATGTATTTTCAGATTTATTTATTTTTAAATAGTACCGCATGGCCGTTCGTATTCCTGGAGATGCAGAGATGATTGATGAGGTAGGGTAATGACCAAACAAAACTGTATGGTTACTCTCATGGCTTTCTGAGATCAGTGCAGACAACTCCTCCATTTTATTCTGAAATGAAAAAGTGTAAGAGTTTTAATATTAAATTTAAAACAGTCAACACATACATGCAGTTTTTAAACACAATATCAGTACTGGAAGCCATGAGCATCTTTAAGGTCCTGATTACAAATAAAGTTTAATGTCTGTAAGCCACCCAGATCAGGGGTGTCAAACTCAAAGCCCGTGGGCTGGATCCGGCCCACGTGGTGCTTAGATCTAGCCCGTGAGGCTGCCCTGGAAACAGTGAAGGACCAGCCCATGGTGCCTCTGCCAGCAAAAATGGAGCTCGGGAGGGCAGCTCTCCCAAACTCCATTTTTGCTGGCAGAGGTTTGCAGGAGGTCATCACAGGCGAAAACAGAGCTTAGGAGCCCGTTTTCGCTGGCAGAGAACTCAGGCCACCACAGGCACCCCTGACATGAGTGATGTTGAGCTGGTCATGCCCCTGGCCACACACCCCGAGCCCTTCCGAGGTCAAACTCAACCCTGATGCAGCCCTCAATGAAAGCGAGTTTGACACCCCTGCTCTAGATGAAGTGGGCAGCACACAAATCTAATAAAATAAAGAAAGATCTCCAAACGGCTCCCATTTAACAGTAAAAATAAATAGATTTTATTTTTATATTCCCCAAACACACACAGGAGATATATGCTGCAATATAATGACAAGTTCCCACATAGGTGTCAAGACATCCCAGGGAATGCAGGAAAAAAAATAAAAGAAAACCCAACATGCTCAAGTGAAATACCAAAGCTCACAGTAAATAACAGAAAGGATTACACATACTCCAAAAGGTTTCTTATGGTTTTCATTTTTTGAACAGTATTACAAATAAAAAAAACCAGTGTCTTGAATTGAAATGTGTGTGTTAATTTCAGTGACTCAATGAAGACAAAGAAAATCAAATTATTAGAGCTTTGGAATCTGTCCCAATGCTGTTGAAGTGACTCTGGATAATATATAAATAGGGAGATGGAAAAATCAATACAAAATAATGTAGTTTGTTAAAATATACTAAAACAACGATGTGATGTTCGGAACTGAAGTTGATTTGGGAATTCAATTCATCCTGATCCCAAGGAACCGGGAAGTAAAACGTATTTGTACAATGCTATGTTAGCATATCAAGCACAGAAAATTCTCAAAGAGTTTCTAAGCAAAATCTTCTATTAGTTCTATGCATAAGGACAATGCTAAACATTATAGACAGCTAAAATATTTTCACTATATAATTTAATATAATAAATTATCCTTTAATTCTTAGCTTTACTTCTGTTCAAAAACATATTTAGTAGAGATCTGAACAAGAACGCCTAGATCTATAAAACACTGTATTATAATATAATATACATTTGGTAGAGACTTATTTAGCTACCTTACTTTATGAATTATGGTTATTTGTAAAGCATTATTGTGCTACTATGTCTCTTTTATTTTTATATTTTGAGGTATCTTTAGATCTATAAGTGGCTCTCAGCCTTTCAATATTTCAAAGTAAACAAAGGAAAGGCATATATGCCACTGTGCTGCTTCGCAGAAGCTTTATGTCTAGATCTTAGAATACAGACAGAACTGTGGACTGAGTTTGATCTTTCTAATGCAGCTAAAGAATCTTCTATACCACATTGATTTTCATCATGAGACAACAGTAGAATATTTCTAAAAACCCCAATCTCAACATATTATCTTAATATTCTTTTTCTGATTATCATTGACAGATTCTCTTAAGGAAATACTTAGTAGAGAATCTTGAGCTCGACAGAGAACTAATAATTTCGGATAATTAGATGGCCTTCCTGTAGAACCTAGCTGTCCCCGAAGATTGTTGTGTGAACCAAATTAAGGATTTTTTTCCTTTGCAGCTAATGAAATGCAATGGCGGTCTGTCTGCAAAGAAACAATAATCAGGCTGTTTTGCTAGAGACTATTGCAAAACTAGTTAAATCTCCACTGGTCCTTTGTTCCATAGGAAACTAAATCTCACGAAAAGGTTTGGTGACTGCATATAAAACTCACACCACGGGAAACTAAATCCACTCTTTCTTTGAAAATGCTCACTGTTCAGAGACATGAGGTACATCAACATCATTGATAAATGATGCCTATCATTTATTGCCAATATTGCCAATCTCAAAGGCTGAAAGTAGGAAGAGGTACTGTGGGTGAATACAGGTAATCCTTGACTGATGACCACAATTGAAGGTCACAAAAGATGATCACATGACCCTGGGGCACTGCAACGTCATAGTATGAACCAGTTGCCAAGCATCTGAATTTTGATCTCATGACCACTGGGATGCTGCAATGGTCATAAGCGTGAAAAATGGTCATAAGTCACTTTTTTCCCTGTTGTCACTATTTTGAACATCACTAAACAAATAGTTATAAGTTGAGGACTACCTATACACACACTTCATCCAGACGCTATAGTTAACATATATAAGACACACAACTGGCCTCAATTTTTTTCTGATCTTTTGATTTGATAAAACATTGTTTTTTTCTAACATTACCGCATTTAATATCCCAAAGAAATTGTAGGGTTTCTTGGGACCTGAAGTAAGACTTGCATCCGCACAGATGAAAGAATATTTTCCAAAAGGTGTTTTATGAACGTAATGGAAGGAGCCATCTTTCTGCCATGCAGAATATTTCCTAACAAAGAAAAGGATTTATTTTAAGAAAAATTCTAATTGAAAGGAGAAATATGTTACAGTAGAAGCTTGTAAGTAAGTTCACTACCATTCTGTACTTAACAACAACAACAACAATAATACTAATAATGCAAAATTACTGTGGGACTTCCGAATACAGACTGATAAAGTTTTGGAACACAACACCCCAGATATCACGATTGTGGAGAAGAAAAAAGTGTGGATCGTCGACATTGCCATACCTGGTGACAGCAGAATCAACGAGAAACAACTTGAAAAAATCACCAGATATCAGAACTTGAAAATCGAACTACAGAAACTCTGGCATAAACCAGTGCAGGTGGTTCCAGTGGTACACGGCACACTGGGTGCTGTGCCTAAAGACTAGGCAAGCACATGTAAACAATTGGTGCTCACAAAATCACCATTGGTCAGCTGCAGAAGGCCACCTTACTGGGATCTCCTCGCATAATCCACCAGTACATCACGCAGTCCCAAACGCTTGGGAAGTGTTCGACTAGTCATTTGTGATACGAAACCCAGCATAGTTATCTCGTTTGCTGTGTGCACTGTTATTTTTTGTGTATAAATAATAATAATAATAATAATAATAATAATAATAATAATAATAATAATAA